TCAAAAGAACATGAAAGGATACACAGAGACACTGTACCAAAAAAAAAAAAAAAAAATTGTCAGTGTTTAATCATTTCAGAAGGAAGTATATCATCAAGAACCAATAGTATTGAAGGAAGAAGTCCAAGTTGCACAGAAGGCATTGGCAGAAAACAAGTTTCCAGGAATTAATCAATACCAATTGAGATGTTTCAACAAACAGATGCAACACTGGATAAACTTTCTCATTTATATTAAGAAATTGGAAGACCTAGTGAAGGTATCTATATTTGTGTCCATCAGCAAATAATTGTGATGCAATAGAGTCTAAAAATTATCAAACAATATCATTAACATCATATGCAAGTAAATTTTTCCTTAAGATAATTCAAAACTAGCTGCCTTTCCAGTCTGGAATTGAACCCACTCCTGTGTCTTCCAGCAAAACAAAAAACAGGCATATAAGCTGAACATTTACATTAGGTAGATACACTCCTTGAGGAGAACAATCATGGGAGAATAGAAGGGCTGTGTATGCACAGGAAGACAACTCAGGGGGCAGGAGTGCATGGGAGGGAAGGACACAGGGAAGAGATAACTATGAGGAAGTGCGAAGGGAGCTGTTGCATTGTGGGAAGTTGCAGTCAATGTCATGAGACAACATGTATGTGAGCTTGTGTATGGAAAGTGAATTTACTCTGTAAACTTTCATCCAAATAGCAATTAAAAGTAAAAAAGGAAGATAATCCAAAATTCCTTGTGCATTACATCGACAAGGAATTGCCAGAAGGTGAGTCAGATCCAGGAGGAGATATGGAATGAGAAATATCATTGTTGATGTCAGATGCATCTTGGCTGAAATCAGAGAGTACCAGAAAGAGGTTTACCTATGCTCTATTGACTATGCAAATATATTTGACTTTGTGTATCCAAATTTTGGATAATATTGAGAAGTATGGGAATTCTAGAGCACTTAAGTGTGCTCATAATGAGCCTGTGCATAGAGCCAGAGACAGTTGTTCAAACATAACAAGGATATATTGCATGATTTAAAATCAGGAAAGGTGTGAGTCAAAGTTGTGTCTTTAACCCTACTTATTCAATCTGTATGCTGAGCAAATAATCTGAGAAGCTGGACTATATGAAAAAGAACTTGGAGTCAGGATTGCAGGAGAAGTCATTAACAACCTGCAGTATGCAGATGACACAATTGTGCTCATTGAAATTAAAGAAGACTTGAAACACTGATGAAAATCAAAGAATACAACTTTCAGTATAAATTACTTATCAACATAAAGAGAACAGAAGTCCTCGCCACTGGAACAATAAGCAACATATGAATAACAGAGAAAAGATTTAATTTGTCAAAGATTTCCTTTTACTTGGATCTACAATCAATGTCCACAGATACGGGAGTCAAGAAATTAGATGACATATTTCTCAGGCAAATATGCTGCAAAGATCTCTTAAAAATTTTAAAAAACAAAGACATCTCTTTGAACAATAAGGTGCACCTGACCCAAGACATTGCCTTTTCAATAGACTCATATACATGTGAAAGCTGGACAATGAATAAGGAAGACTGAAGAAGAATTGATTTATTTGAATTATGGTGTTGGCAAAGAATATCGAATGTATCATGGACTCCCAGAAGAACAAGCAAATCTCTTTTGGAAGAAGTACAGTCAGAAAGTTTCTTAGAAGTGAGGAAGATGAGACTTTGTCTCATGTATTTTAGACTTATTTTCAGGAGGGACCACTCCTTGGACAATGACATCTTGCTTTGTAAAGTAGAGGGTCAGGGAAAAAGACAGCCTTTAAAGAAATAGCAGAGCTGTCCTACCTCTCTTCCTGTCATTGGGATGGATTGACACAATGGCTGCAACAATGAGCTCAAACATAGGAACAATTGTGAGATTGGCACAGGACTGAACAGTGTTTTGTTCTGTTGGACATAGGTTTGCTTTGAGTTGGAACTGACTCAAAGGACAACAACATGAGTCTTTCCAAGCCTTCATTTGGACCTTTTCCCAATTGGAGTACAACACATGTTACTTCTACAGCACCATTCCAAAAGGACTAGTTTTTGTTTTACCTTATTTTTCCCTTAGTTTTCATAAGTCATGAAAAATAATAACTCTAGTTTTCACTATGATCTAGACTTTTTCACTCTAGTCTAGCAATATATACTTTCCTTGATGGTTCTACATATACCAAGAGTCAACCTGTCACTGCTCTCCCCCAACTACATTCTTTGTTTCTGTGGAAAAGAATTTTTAGAATGCAATTGTTGGGAGGTGCAATAAGTAAAAAGCTTGCTCAGGTGCAAACCAAAATGTTGGCTGTTCAGATCAACCCAGAGAATCACAGAAGAAAGGTCTGGTTATATATTTCATAAAAAATCAGCCATTGAAAACCCTGTGGAGCATAGTTTTACTCTAACACATATGGGGCCATCCTGAGTTGATATCAACTTAATAGCAACTGGACTGACAGAAATAAGTTTCAGAATAGGCATGTAAATGAAAGAAAGAAAGTTAGGGCAGCTCTGCTGTTTCTTTAAAAGCAGTACAATTGAGTTTTTGCATAATACAGATGCTGAATATATACAGTTCACCAAAGAACCAGGGGTTTTCTAACCCTTTGGCCTAAGGTGCTAATTTTAAAAATATCTAGTACTGTTACCTTTCTAGTTAATGGATACTTCTGCAAGACTCTGGCAAGAGAGTCACTTGGCATTCCCTGTTTTTGGTTCTGTGGGTTTTAATGTTGTTCTCTGCCTTTATTGGATTTTTAAAGTGAAAAAATAGAAATAGCTGTAATTAAGGCAACTGGCTAGATGACATTTTATATTGGCTGATTGCTCCTCCCTTTTGATTTTGCAGTAAATGATATTGTGCTACTCTATAAGCTTTAAAAACTCAAACTGTATATTTAGGATTATAGAATTATACATTATTCAAACATAGAGTACCTCTATGATGTTAGAACCTGAGCTGGAAACACAGAAATCTTTGCATTAATTTCAATAATGATCTGGGTTCTTCCTGCTATCATTCACTGTACTGAAATAGTATGTGTACTGTATTTATCATTTTAAAACATATTTCACTGTGGTATATTAAATTTTGTGAGTTATGCAAATTTAAAACTTAGAGCCTTAGTTGTGGTCTAGATATATAGCTACTGAAAATCTAAGATTTAATTCTGTATAATTTGTTACTTTATCTATGATAGCTATGTATTAACAACCATAGTAAAGTATAACTTGAACAGAAGTAATAAGTTATGCTAAAATTTTAAGGGAATTGAATTATATTTTGCAATATCTTAGTTTGTAGACTAACTTACATGCAAAAAAATGAAGTTTGGGGAGGAAAATGGACCAATATTTTTCCTTTTTTTTTCCTGGACTATTGTAAGTATGAATTGCTATAATCAATTTAGTTTAGTAATAAAAAACAAATACCTTTTAAGAGTCTTTTAAAAAACAGGTTGTTACTAAATTAGTAACAAATCAATACTAAATTATTATGCATTGAATATGTCCCTGCAAAAATATAGGTTGTAAATCCTAACCCTTGTATCTGTGGCTATAAACCCACTTGGGAATGAATTTTCTTTGTTAAATTCATGAGACAGAATTTGTGTACTGTGTGTTTTGAATCAATCTCTGTTGAGATATAAAACAGATTAAACAAGCAAGCAAGAGAAGTAGAGATGGAAGACAAGAGAGGCCAAGCCACATGCAGATTATGCAGGAACAGAAGTTCAGGGAAATAACCAACTTCCTCTACAGCAGACAGAGAAAGCCTTCCCCTAGAGCTATCAGCCTGAATTCAATCTTCTAGCCTCTGAAACTGTGAGGAAATAAATTTCTATTTGTTAAAGCCACTGATTGTGGTATTTCTGTTACTCAGCAGCACTAAGGTAACTTGCAACATGCTTTAATAATGTCATTGAAATATCATGATATTCAGAAAATAATTAGAAAGTTTGGTTCATGAGCAACATTTCAAATATCTGTCAAAATGGATTGACTGAATCAGTTGAAAAAAATTAGAGCTTTTGGCATTTTGTAAACAATAGGTGATTTTGGTTTGTTTATTTTACAGGCCCATAAAATTTGATATGAATTCACTAACTATATGTAATACTGTCAATAAGATAGCAACTATATGAGCACTTAATAAAATTCTAAATTTTCAAATATTTTTAGATATTGATGAATGCAGCGAATCAGTTGTCTGTGGTGATCACGCAGTGTGTGAAAATGTGGATGGCGGGTATAACTGTGCCTGTGAAGAAGGTTATCAGACACCTACAGGAAATTTACAATTCAATCCAAATGATGGCACTTATTGTCAAGGTAAATTATATTATCAATTTGTGAGCTAAGAAACTGAGGAGTTAAGGAAGTGCTCAGCTATTAACCAAAATGTTGACAGTTCGAACCCACCTGCCACACTGTGAGAGAAAGGTGTTGCAGCTTGTTTCCATGAAGATTTCAGCCTTGGAAACTCTTTGAGGGAGTTCCTCTCTATCCTCTAGGGTTCTTATGAGTCAGAATCAGTTCTATGGCAGTCAGTTTTTGGTGTCAAAGAACTAGATAAAATGTGTGCTACAGAGTTTTGAAGTATAAAGAGCTGCATTTTTCAAGGAATGTGTTGTTGTTAGTTGTTGTTAAGTGCCGTTGAGTCGTTTCCGACTCAAGTAAGGAATGTGTTAGTATTCCTTTATTTTCTATAAAATGAATTAAAAGAAAGGACATTATTTTATTTAACACGAGATGTAGACCACATTGTTTATGCAATTAACATATCCTATTCCTTGAATCTCTATTCTTCCACTATCCATAAAATATTGTGTATTCTAAAAAGGAAAAGGAAACAAAGTGTTAACAAATGTGGGTGTATGTTTTCTTGTTTCAATAAGTGACCAAAATTACTCGAATCAATGTGATCAGCTTAGGAAAAAAATATTTTAAGAAAACTAAATAATCATATTTTCTCTTTCTACAGAAAACATGAACGCAAACTGTCATTTAGATAATGTTTGTCTTGCTGCAAATATTAACAAAACTTTAACAAAAGTAAGTAGAGTAGTTGAATTAAAAAGCTATTTTACTTTGATATTTTTGTTTCAGTTAACATCTTTCCAATATTACATTTTCAGAATAGTAACAAGCAGTTAAACTTCATACAGATGTGAAACTATTTATGTATTGGGATCTAAGTATTATTTCAGTTGCATATAGGATTAATTTGAAAATTCCCAAAGTATTGAAAACTTTTATATATTTAATTTATGTTACTTTTTCATTATTTGATGTAACAGAACATTATTTTCAACATGTAAAGAAAGTTGATGAATAAAACAGAAAACTTTACTTTGACTTCAGGTCCCTTACCATATTTTAAGGAGGAGATACAACTGAATATAACTGAATTTTGTATTTCAAAGTGAACATTTCAAAGAGTAAATAAAGTAAGACATTCATAAAATTATTATGTGACTGAAAGCTTGAATCTCAATATGGCCACTCAAATATCAGCTAAAATAAATTTCTGCTTCATCACATTATAAAAATTTACTCTGGTTGATTAAAATCTAATCAAATTAACTAAATTATAATTGATAGTTCTATGTTAAAGAATATGGAGTGATTTTAGAAACCAAATTTTTAAAAATGTGTGTAATACTCTAAATTGGTTTCCTTTTTTCTGGACTCATTTTTGCTCAGATTAGATCCATAGGAGAACCTGTCGCTTTGCTACAAGAAGTCTACAGAAATTCTCTGGAAGATCTTTCACCACTGGATATAATTACATACATAGAAGTATTAGCTGAATCATCCTCATTTCTAGGTTACATTAATAGCACTGACCCAGCCAAGGATACTCTTTCTAATTCGACTCTTAAAGTAAGTATGTGGAGCTTTAACGCTTAATACAATAGAGCTTTAAAATGCCCTTTACATCTATGATTAGTGTAAAATTTCAACATTTTAAAAGACTTAATTTTTTTCTACAGGAATTTGTAAAAACCATGAATAATTTTATTCAAAAGGATACATTTAGAGCTTGGAACAAGTTATCTGGAAATAGTAGGAGAACTCATCTTACGAAACTGATGCACACTGCTGAACAAGTAACTTTAAGTTTATCTCAAAACTTCCAAAAGGCCACTCAATTAGATACTAACTCAAGTGATGTCGGTAAGAAGCCAAAGTCAGTTTCAAAGCAATTGTCTTTTCCCAATGAGCCAGTCTATAAAGAGGAGAAAGGTATTTCAAATAATATTGATTAAATTGATAGTTTTTTCCCCATTGGAGAAATGCAAGATGACACATATCGCATGAATGATATGTGAGCATAGTAAGAGTAAAAAGGAAAAATACATAACTGTTCCCTCCTTCGAGCCATCACATCTCTACCTTTTCCTGTTTCTGAACTGTTTAGCATTTAAATGCTCAGAGTGTATTATTTCCCTGTCATCTTGAATCAAGGCATCTCCTGACTTGGGATATACTTTAGCTAGTGATAGTTACATACAGATCACCAAAATGCCCTATATTCAATTTTTATCTTTAGAAATTCATTGCATTGTAATAATAAACAGAAATCAACAAAATAAATTAGAATGATTTCTACTTGATGCAATCTCATACATAGAACATTCAGAATTTGGGATCATTTGAGGATGCTTATAAAGTTATGAAGAAATAGGATATTTCTGAAAAAATTATTACATATAATTATACTATATTTGGGGGGTAGTATCTTGCTATGCAACATCAATACACTAAAAGCATTATCTGATCAGGATTTCTCACTTACTCAAAATTAAGGTTGCAAGCTTGTGAATAATAAATAGGAGTTACATTTGTTGATGATATTTTTGCAGTGAAAATTCATCATGAAAGGAATTATAGCTCAATAATTTAATTCAGTCATTCTTCATATAGTAAATGACATTATAGATCCTATTTTCTAAGACATTATAGTTGCTTGTCTTTGCTTTAGTAATTATTATTTACGACTTTCTTATCTATATATTTTTTTATATTTACTTTAATTTAATAAAAATTAAATTAAATTATGCATGAAACATGAAACCCAAAATTGAAATTTGAGTCAGATTTTAAGATATTATTTATTTTGACCAAACATGTTCAGAATATGTTCATTTAATCTGTCATAAATAAACAGTGAAAATGCAATAATGATGATTAAAACTAGTGTCTCTAATGAAATAAATATGTTGATTAAACTAATTTAAAAAAAAATTTTATTTCCATGGTTTGTTTCAGCTCTCAAAGTTTTCTTTTTTGATTCATATCAAATGCAATATATTCATCCCCACATGAACATGGATGGAGATTACATAAGGTTATTCCCAAAGAGAAATGCTGCATACAATTCAGATGGTAGGATTTTGATGATATCTTCTATTCAATATTCCAAATAGTTTGCAATACATGCACATTATGTATTCAGTTATATTATATGATATCTATGATTTCCTATAAACAAAATATTTGAAGTTTATATATACAAAGTTCTCATCATTGTTCTTACTATTTTCTTTCTGATATAAACATCTGGGAAGAACTTTAGATGATAATGTCTGGGTCCTTTTTGTGCTACCACCAACCTCTATAACTGATTGATATTTTGAAGATTCTTATAAAAATACAAAAAAGAATTTGATTTAATTACTCATTCTACACCATTCAGCAGATGCTATAATTCTTTTAATATTTCCTCTTCAGTAAGTCTTTGTACTCTTTGTTGTGATACTTAATATGTGACTAGTAAAGAAGAAATATAGAAACAGGGTTCAAAAAGACAGAAAGTTTTTGTCCAGACTTATCACTTCTCTTTCATTTGTCATCTTAGTCTGTGCATAGTAAACCATTCAACTAAACTAGAAGATACATTGAAGAAAAAAAAGAAAGAAAAATCAGAAAACACTAGTACTGGAAAGAAATTCAGTAGTTATATAACCTAATGTTTTAGTTTATGAATAATGAAACTGAGGGTCAGAGAAGTTAAGGGACTTACCCTTGTGTACATCCTCAGATAAGGTAGACTCAGTACTAGAAGAGAGAGAATTAACAAAGAAATGAGCCGTGGTCAGTCTTCCCTTATTCTTTGCTTGTTTGAGGTAAGTAGACAGGTACTATTTCAATCTCACAATTTGTCTGCTTCCTTAAGTACAGTGTCTGATGATAGTAGAGTTCTTTTGGTCATTATTATACTCTATCTCTCATTCTCTCTCTCTCTCTCTCTCTCTTTCTCTCTCTCTCTCTCTCTCTCTCTCTCTCTGTCTCTCTCTCTCTCTCTCTCTCTCTCTATATATATATATATATATATCCCAGGAAATATATAAATTGTAAAGTTTTATCAAGGAATACCTAGATGATCACAAATATAAATGGAAAAAAAAAAATAAAACAACATAGAGATTGGTTCATGTATAGACATATTTTGATAAAAGATGATGGTGTACAAAATTGCTGCACATTCATCCTTAGAAACATGTCTCTTTTTTCCATTTTTACAGCATTACTGTGGGATTTTTTTTCCTAATCCATCAATGTTATTTTGTCCATTCTTTCTTATCGTATTCTATTAAAGTGTAAAGAACTATAGTTTGTGGCCAAAAAACAAAGCAAAAATAATGAAGCCATATTGCCATTGAACCCATGGTTCTTATCTGATTACACTGTATTCTAATTAACTCAGTATATGTTTAATCTTTAGAAGCAAATCCAATCAATGTATTAAACTGGAAATTTCAAAGACAATCTTAATAGAGTTTAGCAGTTGTGAATAAAGACATTGAAAATACCCATCATAGGGACAGATGAAGAACTTGTCACAGTATTGATATTTCAGAGATCTTTCTGATTGTATGGTAGCTCTGTTATATTTAATGATCCATATGAATACTTGGATATTTGAAAATCATGTTAACACTTCAGAAAGCAGACTGAGAAAATTTGTTTTCCTCAAAATTATATCTTAAATATAAGGGCTTATCTAACAGACTGATCAAACCCACTCCTTGATATCAATATGCTATCAGTCACTCAGTACAAAATCCATTAGTGAAAATCTACACAGTGCCATTAGTATCAAAGTAAAGAGGGTCCACAGAGGCACAGGTGCACTTATAATCTTTTTAATTGACTGAATTACAAGAGTAAGGAGCAAGATTTGATAATGAACGCAACAAGATCCAATGTTTTGAACTATAGTGTATAATAAAAAGAAAATAAACTTTAGTTCTGAAATTATAAATATGTATTTTTAAATTACTATGAAATTGGGATAATGTTTAAATGATATAATAAAGCAGCATATGAATCTCTGTTGAGAAGGTGTATTTTAGTTACTCTCAAGTGAAAATAGCATGCAGTTTGGTAACAATACTTCTCTAAGGTGTTATAATTCATTCAGGTTCTATTTTCATATTCTCTATAGAATTTAGCACATTGCTTTGCACTAAATAGATGCTTAAATAGGTGTTTTATTCAATGAATTGAAGGCTACAATGTATCTTCTTCTTAGGAAAGATATGATAACATTAACAGATAATACACAGAACAGAGGACAAAAAAGACTAGAATAAACTTTATAAAGAGGAAAAGGTTAGGAAGGACTGATGGAGATATAATAAGAAATCTAATTTACTGTAAGATGATATAAAATTGATTAAGAAATTAACTAGATCATACCTAGAATTAGTGAGAAATCATGAGAAGTGGAAGAAATTCAAAGTGATGGTGGGACACACACTGCAATAATAGTCAGAAAGGAGATACAAAGGGATTTGGGAGCATAGACACTATTCTATGTGACATTAATCACCCCATCACTCAAAGTCAAAAAGTGATGTTAGAAATTTTTTTTTTTTTTTTTTCCTTTTGGAAGGGTAGTACAAAAAAATAAAAAACTAAACTCACTGCCATCGAGTCAGATCCAACTCATAGTAACTCGTCCTTGGATTTCTGAGGTGGTATCACTATGGAAGTAGATTGCCCAATCTTCCTTCTGAGGTATGCCTGGTGGGTTTGAACCACCAGGCTTCTGGTTAGCAGTCAAATGCTTTAGGCACTATGCCACCAGAGCTCCCATTGGAAGGATAACAGTGATCAGTGTATTTTCAAAAACTCACCTTCTCATTTTGGAACTTCGTTTGATTATGACAAATTAGGACCTTCTGAGAAGTCACTGTTTCATATATTATTTCATCAACTGGACCAGGCCATGATGACCTAAAATGTTACTAGACCCTGATTTGTCATCTCTTAGAATCATCATAATTTCACTAGCCTCAATCATATTATCCTAACTTTAATTTCTCTCTATGCTATATGTTTCTAGACTGGCAGTTCAGGGGAAAAAAATATGTGTAATATATCTGAATTACAGCAAAGCCCCTCCAATGTCTCTTATGGTGCCTTTTTAGATTAAGATATAATAATATGAATAGTTACATATTAGCAACTTCTAGCTCATTGAATCATATCCAAAGAATATTATTATTAGGGTATCATCCAGCTCTATGGATGGTTCCAGTTTTGCATAACAATTCTTGGTTTTGTATGATATTACAATTATTATTTTATTTAATTTATACTTAGTAAATTATTTCTAGTATCACAAATTTGATGGAACAACTGAATATGACAAAAGTTTCCTTAATTATCCAAGTGGTCTGAAGAAAACAGAATCTTTCTAGCTAATAAGTATAAAAATCATATTTGTAGAGTGTTTAAAATTTAGAAAAGACTCTCATCTATTATTTAGCTTTATCTCAAGCCATCCTGATAAGTAAATACAGTAATTATTACTATCATCCTTTTACAAGTGGAAAATTTAAAATTCAAAGCTTAATTGCTTTATCTGTAGCATATAGATAGGATCAGTGACTAAAACCAGAGCTTCTAATTCCAAGTATAAATCATGAATATAAAACCTTATATTCAGTATCCATAACTCTGTACCACAAATATAGGGGAATAAGACTTAAATTGACAGCTGGAAATTTTAAAGATAATAATGTAGATGATGAATTGTTTGTATACTTAACGTCAGTGATATTAAGCTGCTACTGAACTAAGACAATTTCTAATTCTTTTAATAGACTTGCACCGCCCAGGTTTAAAGACCTATTTTGTAGGTAGTCACATGGTAGTCTGTGATGATAAGATTGTATTTCTAGTATTAAGTTTTGTGTTTATGTACTGAATTCATGATGAGGGGAAGTGATGGCACAGAGAAATGATTGCCCTACAAGGTAATAATTTCTTACCAGAGACTGAAAATCAACAGTATTAACTAGGAACCATTTCAGTGGCATGAGATTGAACTCAATGAATGACATCTTATAACTCCTTTAACTCTAAACTTTTTTTTTTTTAATTTAGAAGATAAAATTTATCACAGTAGTTTTCTTTTATGTATTAATTTACATATAAAAAGACTTGTTCTACCTGTAAGGGAAAAAGATGATTTTATCATATAAGCTGGTACTTTTTTCTAAACTCTAAACTTTTATAATACTGTTAGTGTGACAATTTTCTCCTAATATCTCTCAATTTCATATATTTTAACATCAAAGTAATAACTTAGAATTTTGCCTTTCAAGTGCATGCACCTAACACCCTAGTGCTCAGTAAGGTTTTGGGTGTGAATTTATCTAAGAATATATTAGAGTATGCAGAAAAGGATTGCAGTAATTCATGATCATTTTTGGATTTGTAGAGTTCAGTGATTGTAAGTCTTAATACGATTTGATGATGTAGGTGTGGGCTCTTTGTGACCCACATTTCAGTATGTGAATATTTTTATGAGTATGTCAGAGTGAAAGTTAGTTTTATCAATTCTTACCTTTATATTAAGAGTGTAAATACATTTTTGTTTTATAATAATTTTACTGAACACGTTTATTTGATTGACAGGAAATGTTGCAGTGGCATTTTTACATTATAGAAGTATTGGTCCCTTGCTTTCATCATCTGACCACTTATTGGAACTTCAGAATTTTGATTATTCTGAAGAGGAAGAAAGAGTCATCTCTTCAGTAATATCTGTGTCAATTAGTTCAAATCCACTCACATTATATGAACTTGAAAATATTGCATTTACATTAAGTCATATAAAGGTAAGTTCTCGTTTTTGTGGTGGTTGTTATTTATGATTATGATATATTCAGAGAAGTGAATTCTTTTTTGTTGTGTCACTTTCAGTATATGTGAACTCTTGAATTTTTCTTTAAAAAAGATAAAAAATGAATATGGTTTCAATTAAGTTTTGTAAAAAATATTTTTGTTCTTTAAGTGCTCTTTTAGCTTTCTAATGAATACCAAAAATTTTCTATTTGACTCTCTAAAATTAAATTATATGTTTAGTTTTATTTTTAAAATATTGTTTCTTCTGAAAGTCTCCATACTTTTAGTTGATGAGTTAAAAAAAAAAAAAAAAAGGTCACTGTGGAACCAAAGAGATAAACAGATCATTTATATAATGAGGGAAATACCTGGTTAATGATTTTCATTAAAATAAAATTTTCAGGGATTTAGGTATTGAATTATATTAATTAGTACTTCATCATAGAGAAATTCAATGTCACTTCAAACACAAAAATATGTTATGAAGAAGTTAGTTGAGACTATTTTACTCTTATTATATTCTGAATCATTGTTCAAACTCATGTACTTAAAACTACAAAATAAAAAACATGTTAATAGCTAAGTAAATATTTATTTTTATATACCTGAAAACTGAGAAATGTGAAATGCTTCTATTTGTTTTTATTTGATGGTGTATTGAGCTTTTAATATAATTTCAGTAAATTATTAAAATACCTAAGTTCAATTTGGAGAATCTCAAACATGACCATTTGCATTTGCAAGTTAACCAGGGAAAATGAAAAAAAAAAGGAAAAAGAAAAAAAAAAGGAAAAAGAAAAAAAAAAGAGAGAGAAATCAAAAAGACCATATAGGCGTACACAAAATACAAATGTATCACTATAAATAATGACATCCAATGTAGGGAAATACTGTCTGACACAGTGCTGAAAGATGAACCCCTCAAGTAGGAAGGCACTCACAATATGACTGGGGATGATCTGCCTCCTCAAAGTAGAGGTGAGCTTAATAATATGCATGGAGTAAAGCTCTTGAGACCTTCATTTGCTGATGCGGCATGAATAAAAATGAGAAAAAATAGCTGCAAACATCCATTAATAATAGGAACATGCAATGCAATGAAGTACTAATCTCAGAAAATCAGAAGTTGTCAAAAATGAAATAGAACTCATAAAGATCAATTTGTAGGCATCAGTGAGCTGAAAAGGACTAGTTTTGGCAATTGTGAATCTGACAATCATATGGTCTGCTATGCCGAGAATGACAACTTGAAGTACGGTGTCACACATCAGGAGGGACCATTTCCTGAAGAAGGATATCCTTCTTGGTAAAGTAGATGGTCAGTGAAGGAGTGGAACACTCTCAATGAGATGAACTGACACAATGGCTGCAACAATAGGCTCAACTATGGTAATGATTATGAGGATGGCATAGGATTGGGTAGTGCTTTGTTCTGTTGTACATAGGGTCTCTATGTGTTGAAACCATCTCAGTGGTTCCTAACAACAACAATGTAGGGAGAAACTAAATGGGTATCTTTTGTTATGAGGTTGATTCCAACTCATGATGGCCTCCTGCATACAGAGTTGTATTGCTCTATAGTTTATTCAAGGGTAGGACCTTTCAGAAGCAGATTTCCAGGCCTGTCTTTCGAGATGGTTGTGGGTGGTTCTAACTGCCAATCTTCCAACTTGTAGAGTGCTACATTTGCACTGCCCAGAAACTTCTAAAAATGTAGAGCAAATGCAAATAAATTGTTGTTTAAATCTAAACATTGGTAGGCCTTTTGCAGAGGGGGAATAGAGATGTGAAATGTTTTAAAACTTGAAACTAAACTTATATATCAAAAAAGATTGGGCTAGATGAAAGATACAAAATGCAAATGATCCTCTTTGACACTAGAAACTAAACATTGTTCTTTTACATGATCTGATGGTTTTCCTACAGTTTTTTATTAAGGGAATGTTTTATTAGATCAAGAGATGCCAAGGACAACTAATTTCAGCAATTCTTGTTTGAAAAGAAACTAAACCATAGGGTTTATGAGGCAGTATTTTTACAGAAGTAGATTGCCCCGTCTTCCTTCCGAGGAGTGGCTGGTGAGTTTGAACCACCAACCTTCTGGTTAGCAGTCAAATGCCTTAGGCACTATGCCACGAGAGCTCCCACCAAACACATACATAAAGAAAAATTCTTCACCATAATTAATGAGAAGACTTGTTTAACCTTCATCTATCTACCTAATCCCTGGTTCTCACCTCTCTGAGGAGAAAATTTTGATCCAGATGACCTTCTAAGAAAATAGAAGACATATGAGGAAATGAAAACTATCTTCATTTTCCTGATTCTCTAACTTATCAGTAACTTCAACTATTAATATATATTTCTCCATTACATCAGTGGGATATATATATCGTTGTTTGTTGTTGACTCAATTCCAACATATAATACTATGGGACAGAGTGGAACTGCCCCATAGGGTTTTCTTGGCTCTAACTCTTTGTAGGATTAGATCCCTAGCTTTTTTTTTTTTTTTTCCTCTTGTAGAGTTACTGATGGTTTCCAATCACTTACCTGTCAATTAGCAACCAAGTGCTTAACCACTGTGTCATCAGGGTTCCTGGGAATATTAATTGTAGTTGTAATAGTAGGATAGACCTTGTGGGGGTCTTTCTTTACTAATTGCAGCAGATATTTTGTGAGTCTGTTCAGTCTGAAAATAAATGGACTTCAATTCTAGGGAATTTCCTAGAATTTTTTTGGTATTTTCCCCATTGTCACGAGCTGGAATCAACTTCATAACAAAAGATACCCATTTAGTTTCTTCCTACATTGTTGTTGTTTCCCAGAAACACCAATGTGTCTGTTCTCTCTTTTGATTATTTGCTACTTGAATATGAGATTTCCTACCCAAGCTTCTTTTATTTTATTTTTACTTTCCCAACTTTTTTTCATGCTACAATATTTTTTATTTCTGCTTCATACTTAAGTTTCACTGAAATAAACAGATATTTTACCCTACTTTTGTTTAATGGGTATGATATCTAATATTTATGATAATCCATTTTTGTTGTTGTTGTCATTAGGTACTATCAAGTCAGTGTACATAGTGTTTATTTGTAAAACAGAACAAAACATTGCCCAGTCCTGTGTCATTCTTATAATCATTACTGTGTTTATGCTCATTGTTGCAAACTGTGTCAAGCCATCAGCCATCATGCTGCGGGTCTTCCTCTTTTTCACTGACTCACTACTTTACCAAGCCTGATGTCCTTCTGCAGGGATGGTCCCTCCTGATAACATGGTCAAAATACTCGAGACAAGGTCTCACCATCCTTGCTTCCAAGAAACATGTTAACTGTACTTCTCCTAAGACAGATTTCTTTGTTCCCTGAGAGAAACATATTTGCAACACCATAATCTAAAGGCATCAAATCTTTGGTTTTCCTTATACATTGTTCAGCTTCCACATGTACATGAGACAATTGAAAATGCTATGGTTTGTGTGAGACGCACCTTACTTTTCAAGATGCCATCTTTGCTTTTTAACTCTTTAAAGAGGTCTTTTGCAGCAGATTTGCCTAAGGCAATCAATCTTATGATTTCTTGACTAATGCTTCCTTGGACATTGATTGTGGATGCAAGTAAAAGGAAATCCTTGACAACTTCATTTTCTTCACTTGCCATGATATTGTTTATTGGTCTTGTTATGAGGATTTTTTGTGCCTTTATGTTGAAGTGTAATCCATACTGAAGACTGTTGTCTTTGACCTTCATCAGTAATTGCTCCAAATCTTCTTCATTTTCAGCAAGCAAAGTTGTGTCATATGAAAACAGCAGGTCAGGTTATTAGTGAGTGTTCCTCTGATCCTGATGCTACGTTCTTCATATAATATAGCTTCTTAGCTTACTTCCTCAGCATAAAGATTGATTTTCAACCATGTAGTATTCCATTGTTCAGTTGATCTATGTTCAGGTTCTCCATGAACACAATTAAGTGTTCTGGAATTTCAATTTTGCACAATATTATCCATTGGGGAAGAAAGAAAAGGCATGGGAGAAGTGTTTTCTGACCTCCTCTAACTTCACAAGCAGGAGAGAGAATCAAGATGAACATCAACAGCTCAAGGCTGATTCTTGTGTGGCACAGAGGTCAGAGATGCTACCACCCTCCAAACTTTTGACCAGTTCTGACACCAACTGTCCCTCCCAGAGAATTCTCTAATTTGTTGCAATGACCACACAGAACTCACAGGCAATACTGATGATGATGGGTTTCTTAGGGAAGTAACTGGTTACAATACAGGATAAGAAACAACTCATGATACATTTCTTCAATCAGAGAGCTTCTTCTCACCTATGCCACAGCCATGCTTCTCTCTGGCCTTGGCCTCTGCCCTGCTTACATCAGTGTTATAAAGCTCTTTTGTTTTGCTGTATAGGTGCCCAGAGAGACATCCCAATCTACTAGCAAGGCTCCTGCCCAAAGATACTCAGCTTGCTTTCTCTGTGCCCTGAAACTTCACCATTCTGTCTTGGGCCTATCTCTTGGTTCTGTTGGTTCTTCTGCCTCTGCTCCCTCGTTCTCTCTGCTATCTCAGCCCAGGGATCTCAGGTTTACTCCTGGCTCTTTTCTCTTGATTGCAGTGAGATCTCCCTTTCTCCCTCTGGGATGGCTCATTTTAAGCCTAGCAAGAGGGCAAAGTTTAGCAATCCACATGCCAGGGTTCCATAGTCCTTATTTGCATCTCCCCACCTCCACAAGTGTGCCATGTTCTTATTTATATTATTAGCAAGCTAGCCAATCCCTTTGGTGTGCCACAAGCACCTCATATTTGCAAAGTCCCACATAGCCATCTAATGAGAGTCACAAAGACCAAAACCATGACTACAAGAGCCAAATTAAGTAATTCATGACATCACATCCACAATGTGTCATGATCCACACTGCTGAAAAATCTTTGCATACTCAATAAAATACATTTAAACATCTTTCTGGTATTCTCGGCTTTCAGCCAAAATCCTTCTGACATCAACAATGACAGGCCTCATTTCATGTCCTTTTCTGAATCCAGCTTAAATTTCTGGCAATTCCCTTTCTATGTATTTCTGCAAGAGTTTTTCAATTATCTTCAGGAAAATTTTACTTGCATATGATTTTAATGTTGCTTGATAATTTCCTCATTCTCTTGAATCGCATTTCTTTGGAATGGACAACATATGGACTTCTTCCAGTTGGTTTGCCAGGTAGTTGAATTCCAATTTTCTGAGCATAGCTGAATGAGAATTTCTAGCACTGTATCCATTTGTAGAACTGTTCAGTTGGTATTCCTTCAGTTCCTGGAGTCTTTGTTTTTTGCCAATGCCTTCAGTGCAACTTGAACTTCTTCCTTCAATATCATTAGCTCTTGATGATATGCTACTTCCTGAAATGTTTGAACATATACCAATTCTTTTTAGTGCAGTGATTCTTATTCCTTCCATCTTCTTTTGATGTATTTTGTATCATTCAATATTTTAACCCATAGAATCCTTCAATATTGCAACTCAAGACTTGTGCTTTTCCTCCATTTTTTTCACCTTGAGAAGTGTCAAACAAGTTCTTCCCTTTTGGTTTTTTAAGTCATTCCCTTTGTACATTTTCATTATAATGCTTTACTTTGTCTTCTTGATCCACCCTATGAAATTTTTCATGTCAGCTCTTTTACTTTATCATTTCTTCCATTTGCTTTATCTACTGTGGATTTGAGAGCAAATTTCAGAGTCTGTTCTGACATTCATTTTTGTATTTTCTCTATTTTCTGTCTTTCTAAGGACCTTTTCTTTGCTTCTTGTATGGTGTTCTTGATGTCATCCCATCATTCATTGGGTCTTTGGTCATTAGTTTTCAATGTGTCAAATCTATTTTTGTGATTAGGTCTAAATTCAGATGGGGTATACTCAAGGTCATATTTCAGCTTCAACTTGAACTTGCATATGAGCAATTGATGGTCTGTTCCACATTTGACCCCTGCCCTTGTTCTGACTGATGATACTGAACTTCTCCATCAATGCTTCCCACAGATGTAGTTGATTTGACTCCTATGTATTCCATCTGGTGAGGTCCAAGCATATATTGCAATTATGTATTAGTAAAAAAGAATTTACAATAAATCAATCTTTGGTCATTCAAAGTGTATAGTGTGTAAAGATATTATAATGTAACTGACAGCAATGTAGTTCAAGATAGATCTCAAAATGTTTTTGATGATGATTTCATTGCATTCTTCTTCAGTTTGTCATTCCTGGCATATAATTTTTTTTTTAAATTGTTACCTGTTTTCTGTGTTGTTTTAGTCCTGATTTCTTCTGTTTGGCTTTCTTGCCTTTGTTCTTTGTCTTTCTATCAGAATCTGTCCTCAGATGTCTGCTGGCCTATGACCATCCACTCATATTTAAAAATGAGGCTTTTGAAAGATGAGTACTTACTTAAGTAGGCTTATAGCAGTTTTGTGTTTTACTACAGATTTATCTTCAGCTAAGTTCTCAGTCATTGCAGTAGAAGATCCTATAGATCAGTAATGGGAGTTTGGTGGTTCAATGGTAGAATTATTGCCTTCCTTGCTGGTGACCCTGGAAGGAGCCCTGGTGGTGCAAACATTGAATGCTTGTTGCTAACTAAAAACTCAGTTGTTTGAACTTGCCACCCACTCCATGGGAGAAAGATGTGGGAGTCTGCTTCCACAAATATATATAGTCTTAGAAATGGTATAGACCAGTTCTGGTCTGTCTTATAGGTTTGCTATGAGTCAAAATTGACTTTATGGCAATGGGTTTGGTTTGCTTTGCTTTTATGCTGGTGACCCAGGTTTGGTTCCTGGCCAGTGTATGAGCAGTCATCCCCTGTCTGCCAGTAAAGGCTTGCATGTTGCTCTGATGCTGAACAGATTTCACCACAGCTTCCAGATGAGACTGATCATAGGGATGGCACAATAGGGCAGCAATTATCCCATTGTGCATGAGTTTGCCAGGAGTCCAGGACAACTCCAGGGTAGCCTGCAACAATAAATGTCAGTACTTCAAAGAAATTTATCTTGTAGCAACCAGTTTCCTAGGAGGAAAACTTTTAGTCAACTGCCTAAGGGCAGAAACCTAGCTATGGGGATTAAGAGAACTAAAAGAATGTGGACATCATGGTGAAGACTCAGTATGTAGTGAGACCCTCACTTGATCCCCCATTTTCTGTATGATACTCACACTGTCAACTGACTTTGGTTTACCAGTACTACAGTCCTTCTCATTTCTCTGGCTTATCTGGTTGGGATGAAATTGGGCATTTTCCAAGCTGTTTTTGGGAAATTGGACCTAGAGCTTTGATTTTCTTCTCATAGTTTGACCTCATTGGAAAACTTCTAGCCATCATTCTGATTTAGCTCAACCACTGACTTCCTAAGCTCAGCCTCTAGTTAAATTCAGTCTGTCTTTGCAATTGTTCCAATTGTTGACCTAAATCTTGTATTTAGAACTCATTAAAATAATTATTTTATCATTGAGAAAGATACTTCATCTTTTCTACTGAGAATCCCTGGCTCCCTGCTCATTGCCTCTCACATATTGGGCACTCAACAAATATTTTCTTTAATGACTAGCTGTTTGAAGATTTGTGTCTGATCTTGTACAACTTTACTTAATAATGATTACCAATTATATCCATTTTCTGGCCAATTGCTTTTGACTCATGGCAACTGTATGGGACAGAGGAAAACTGGCCCCTAGAGTTGCCTAGGCTGTAATCTTTGTGGAAGCCGATAACCACAACTTTCACCTGTGGAGTTGCTGCTGCAAGGTTCAAAACGATGCCCTTTTGGTTAGGTTCTAAGTCCTTAACCACTGTGCCATCAGGGCTCCTTCGTAGTTAGTCTTAAATATATCTTTTGACTCTTTTTGCTTCTTAAAACAATACAAATATAATAGGAAGGATTGTTTTAAGGAGCAAACTAGACAAAGCAGGTGAGAGGGCACTGTAAATTGCTTTATAATTGTAAATATTTTTTCTTCTTTCTACAAAATAGAGTATTAAGCATTCAGCAAACAATTATTAAAGCTAACAGTACTTAAAAAAAATCTCATTGCCCTTGAGTTGGATCCAATTCATAGCAACCCCACTTGGGTTTCCCAGGTGGTATCAGTACAGAAGTAGAGTGCCCAATCTTCTTTCCCACTTCCCAGGAGTGGCTGGTGAATTTGAACTGCCAGCTTTCTGGTTAGCAGTCAAATGCCTTAGGCGCTATGCCACCAGGTTTAACTGCTAACCAGAAGGCTGGTGGTTCAAACCCACCAGCCACTCTTCAGAAGGAAGACTAGGCAATCTACTTCTGTAGAGATGCTGCCTCAGAAACCCAAGGAGGGGTTTCTATGAGTCAATGGCAATGAGTTTTCTTTTCTTTTTTTTTTAACAGTACTTTATTTATAGTGTTATTATTAATTGCAAATTATGATAAAGAGAACTCCACTATGTATTGAGCAAACTCTCTCATAGTATATGCAGTCTAGACTCTTTCAATCGCTTACTTATCTTCATAACTTTTTACCTCACTAATTTTGCACTGACTGCACTGGCTTCCAGATATTTGTGGAAGAATCCTGTTCAATCACTTCATTATTTCTCCACTTTTTATTCCAGCGGTGTAGAACTCCCATTTCCTATGTCTACCTGTCTCATCCCTCACTTCAGGGAGGTATTTGGGTGGATGTCATTCCATGTGAAAGGCTTTATCAGACCAAGCTCCTTATCATATTCTTTCTCTTTCTCTTTATTTTTCTTGTTTAATAATTTCTCATATTCCTTACAAGAATTTAAAGTCAATAATGCAACTATTTTTTCTGTTGTTGTTGTTGAGTGTTGTATTCCCAGAGGTAGGTCAATGACTAATTCCTAGTAGATATTCAAATTTATTGAATGGAGATTACGATAATTAGGTGTTATACCCTGTTTTAAATAACATATGCAGCATTTTACTTAATGATTTTAAAACAACTCTGTGAGATTCAGTTGATAAAATATAGCATTATTACATTATAGATTTCAATTCTCCCAAATAATAGCAGCATTTGTTTATTTATATTTATTAAGTGTTTCAATTTAGATATGATATTAATCTTAATGATACTCAAAGTGCTGCAAAAACCATATGTATGTGTAACTTTTTCTTTTTTTCCCATCAGTAAAATATGTCTTTTTCAGATCTCAGATAAGCATAGGAGTCAATGTGCATTTTGGAACTATTCGTCTGACACAATGAATGGCAGCTGGTCTTCAAAAGGCTGTGAGCTGATATACTCCAATGAGACCCACACCTCTTGCCAATGTAATCACCTGACACATTTTGCAATTTTGATGTCATCTGGTCCTTCTATTGTAAGACAAATTTCCACTTCATATTTATAAATATACCTTTTTGTGTTTTGTTCTATACCACTTAAGAGAATAATTAATTTTTATGTTTTCCTTGTGTATAGTTATCAAAAATAGTTAATATTCTTGGTAAAACCCCCAAATTATGTTATTTTTAGTCTTTGTTTTTCTCCCTGCCCCCTGGGACATATTTGGTCTGGGGTTTGGTTTATCTATATTCTACGATTTATCTAGCCTTTAATACATAGTAGACTGTGTGTTATGTCAAATGTCCATCATTGACACATCCTTTTTAATGATGCTTGAAGGACCATTTGTATAATTTAATATATCATGTATTTTAGGGCTTTGTCTTTTTATTGAAAGTTTTACTGTTGCTTTATTTATTGTTTTTAATCAATGACAAAACATATCTGAAAATATTTGATACTTGAGCAATGTTTTTAGCAATATAGAAACCACCAGGTTTTAGAACATGTACAGGTGAGTTGCTTCATAATAGGTATTTTCCATTTGTAATATCTTGCTTTTATATTATATAATTATTACATAATTTGTTATTTTATAACTTTATCATAATATTCCTTACATTACAAATTTATTTCCTCTAACACTAAGAATCCATTAGTTAAGTGTTAAGTGTAAAAATATCCAAATAAAATCCACCGTAAGTTAATGACTAAAAAACAAAACTCACTACCATCCAATTGATTTCGACTCATAATGACCCCTGCTTGGATTTCTGAGGTGGTATCTCTGTGGAAGTAGATTGCCCATTCTTCCTTCCAAGGAGTGGGTGGTGGGTTTGAACCACCATCCTTCTGCTTAGCAGTCAAATGCCTTAGGTACTATGCCACCAGAGACAGCCATATATTTTAAAGGTGAGTTTTTCTGAATGTTAAGTAAGCAGAGAAGCTTCTGTTCTGTGTATGTGTGTGTATAGACACCCACACAGAGAAGGTGACACAATAGAATGCAGAAATTATCAGATAGCATCTTTAATATCACGTGAGAGAAATATTGCTGAATATAATTTGAAAATAGTTCTAGCAGTATATCAACAGGGAACTGCCAAAAATTCAAGTAGATTAAGAAGAAGGCATGGAACAGGGAATATCATTGTTGATGTCAATTGAATCTTGGCTGAAAGCAAGGAATACCAGAAAGATGTTTACCTGTGTTTTATTGACAATGCAAAGGCATTTGACTGTGTAGCTCGTAACAAAGTATAGGTAACATTGCAAAGAATGGAAAAATTCCAGACACTTAATTGTGCTCATGAAGAAGCTGTACATAGCTCCCAGAAAGACAGTCATTCAAACAGAACAAGGGGATATTGCATGGTGTAAAATTAGGAAAGGTGTGTGTCAGGGTTGTATCCTTTCACCATACGTACTCAGTCTGTGTGCTGAGAAGCTGGACTATATAAAGAAGAATATAGCATCAAGATTGGAGGAAAACTCATCAACAACCTGAGATATGCAGATGACCCAACCTTGTTTGCTGAAAGTGAAGATGACTTGGAACACTTACTGATGAAGTTCAAAGCCTCAGTCATCAGTATGGCTTACACCTCAGCATAAAGAAAACAAAAATCTTCACAACTAGACCAGTAACGTCAGAATAAGTGGAGAAAAGATTGAAGTTATCCAGGATTTCATTTCACTTGGATCCACAATCAACACCCATGGAAGCAGCAGTCATGAAATTAAATGACATATTGCATCAGTCATATCTTCTGCAAAAGACCTCTTTATAGTGTTTAATAGCAAACATGTCACTTTGAAGTTTAACACATGTCTAACCTAAGCCATGGTGTTTTCAGGTGCCTCATATGCATGTGAAAGCTGGACAGTGGATTAGGAAGGTAGCAGAAGGATTTATACATTTAAATTTTGGTGTTGGGGAAGAATATTGACTGTATCATAGACTACTAGAAAAACAAATATATCTGTCTTGGAGGAAATACAGCCAGAAAGTTACTCATAAGTGATAATGGTCTGACTTTGTCTCTCATAATTTGATCAGGTTGTCAGAATATACAGTAACATATAATATTAATCCATTTAGAATATATCAACCTTGGCTATTTCAAAGTCTCTGAATTATAATGTTTTGATATTCCATGTGTTCAGCATTTCTAACATCTGTGTTCAATGTATTTTAGAGGAATAATTACATAGAAGTAAGACTTGTTTTTACCACTGACAAATCTATTTAAATTAACCATTTTCACATTACAATAACAAATTCCCTTTCTAATATGATGAAACAGATGACAATAACATTGTTAAACCATATACTAATATATACTATGTGTAGAAAAAAATCATTAATTACAGAACTGTTAAAGTACTGCATGATTTACATGAGATTACTCTGAACATTGAATGTTTTCAAAGTATATACAATTTTTCTCATCTAAATGCACATTTGTATTTTTACATTTTACAAACATTTTGCTTGGTGTTTCACCAAAAAGGGAAGTTCATTATATGTTGTAGTTCCTTTGACAATTTAGAGTTATTCTCTTAACAGATTTATTATTATTTTCCCTTAGGGTATTAAAGATTATAATATTCTTACAAGGATCACTCAACTAGGAATAATTATTTCCCTGATTTGCCTTGCCATATGTATTTTTACCTTCTGGTTCTTCAGTGAAATACAAAGCACCAGGACAACAATTCACAAAAATCTATGCTGTAGCCTATTCCTCGCTGAACTTGTCTTTCTTGTCGGAATCAATATAAACACTAATAAGGTATGTGGGACTCCTTACTCTGTTTTTGTTATCTAAATTTGTACTTTCCTAAATATATATTTCATAGACACATGAATAACAATTAAGATCTTAATGGGGCAAAGATACTATATAATTTGGTTTTAAGTTGTCTTTTCTAAGCCTAAGAAGCTCTGGAGGCACAGTGCCAAAGGCATTTGACTTCTGTAGCAGTTAGGTTGTGTGTCAGCTTCCGTGGGCCTGGTTTTGAGTGGCTGGGCAGCTGGTTGTAGTTATTCCCCATGATGAGATTGGCAATAAGCTCCATGATAGAATCTAGTAGAGCAGCTGAGTAGCTGCCTCAGGGATGTTGTGTGCTTAAGGATGTGATCTGCTTCCAGTATGTAAAGAGAAGTTTTGAGAAAGGTTTCTGCAGCTTTTTGGCACACTTGGACCCTCCAGGTAGCTGAGTCTTCATTTAGCAGCCTGTCATGTTTCTTGCTGATCTTGGGACTGTCTCTGGATTTGAACTAGTAGCCTCCCATGTTCTTTGGTACTATTGGGACTATGGCATTTTATTTGTCGACCTTGGGCTTGTTAGCCTCAGCAGTCAGCAAGCTGCCTGAGTGAATAGACACTTCTAGCTCCAGGGGGCCAGAAGCAAGAGGTAGACCTAAAGCCAAGGGGCACTCACCAAGCCCTTAGAACTGGCACTTTGAACTCGGACTTTCAACCAACTAACCTATAAGAAAATAAACTCCTGTTTGTTAAAACCACCCATTTGTGGTATTTCTGTTAGAGCAGCACGAGGTAACCAAAGCAACTGCTAACCAGAAGGTTGGCAGTTCAAATCCACCAGCCATTCTGTGAAAGAAAGACTGGGCAATCTACTTCCATAAAGATTTACTACCCAGAAACTCGGTGTGGGTTGCTTTGAGTCAGAATCAACTTTATGGCAGTGGTTTTTTGTTGTTTTTTTTTTTTTTTTTTTTTCTAAGTCTGATAATGCCAACATATCTTAGCAAACTGCTTACTAAAGTCCATGAACCAAAATGTCCCTTGTTATCAAGAATCAGAAACAGATTAAAATTTTGCAACAAACTGAAGAAGTACCTTTTCATTTGTTTTGTTTTCAGGTGGGAAATGAACAGAGTAGAGGTAGTACTTGAAATATTGTCTTAGGGATTGAACTGTAACGCTAGGGTTCATAGGTTGAAATATAATGAACTGACTGCCTGTCATCTACACTTTCCTATCTGCTCATTGCACTTTCTTGCTAATGTATATATACCCTTACCAAGTAGTTTCCATATTGTTTCACTGTAGATCCTCCAAGAAGTAGAAACTGAAAATGAATAAATATTCAATAAGTTTAGTAGTGCATATGCCTATGAGAAAAAAAAATGATAAGGGGGAGACTTGGGGATCTGTCAGATCAAGATGCAGCCAGGCCCTAACTGAAAGACAGGTGGAAGAAGAGTGAGTGGAAGTATTTCACATAGCCTTTCAGTTCTAAGGAATGTTCAAAAAGGTTGTTAGGGAGTCTTTCCGGGAGTCCTTGAGCCCAAGTTACCTGTCTGAGAAATTCCATATCTCCCAGGAATCGTGTTGTGCTGTCATGATCTGGCTGCAGCCTTTGGGAAACACAAATACCACAATGGGCTTCAGAGTGCAGCAGCTGAATGCCTAGGTCAATTACACTCCCTGCATTCAGAGACTGGAGAAGTGCATCTTCATGGCTGCACAACAGCAAATTCCTTCCATATCTCTATTCTCAGAAATTTTTCAAGTACTGAAACTAACGATCAGTTACCAAGATTTTCTTTTGCAGTTGATGTCCACAAAGCGCCTATTTTAAATAGTGTACACTAGAGGATAAACTCCATACCTGTTTTTGTTTTTTTGCTGCAATATTCTTAGAACATCTCAATTTATCTATGCTTACCACTAGCCTCCAATACCTATTTATTCTTTCAGTCTCCTCCTACCATCATGCTCAGCCCCAAACTATTCTTTATAGTGGTTATTTTTCACTTTCTTTCACCTCTCATAACCTCATTCTCAACCTATATATCAAATCTCACTCCTGCATCTAAGTGGCTTCCAATTTTTGATATTTGTTTTCAACCTTATACAGTATTCTCCAATATATTTTAGTGTGTGCTCTCATTGTGCTTAAATTTTGGTGATTTAATAACAGTAATAAGCATGTAAGTGTATATTATCTTTCAAGTGATAGATGTCATGAGCTCCATTAAAAAAGAATACAGGAACATGTAACTACTTCTTTTTTGGTTATTTCTTATAAGGCTAACCTCAGTTCTGGATGTGTATTAAATACTTATAAATGTTGTTTAATTGAAAGCCAACTTAAATATACTTTATACACTTACTACTTAAAGTAATTCTATAATGGATATTTTTGCAAAATATTATTTATCTCATCTGTAAACCCAATGTTTGTCCCTTGATTCAGAAATCATCATATTGTTTAGTATAGGGCTGAAAAATAATTTTCATTCTTAATAAAATTAAGGGGAAGAAAGGCATCTGCAAAACAGAAACTGACTTAAATCATAAAATATTCACCACAACACTTGGCTCATCTGTGAATAAACCACAGTTTATTGCATAACACAAAGTGTATAAAAATTACAAGAGCAGCAACTTAGTTTTGTCACAGCATTGGTGAATACTTCACACTGATGAAGCCCCCTTCTTTCAAATCAGCTGGAGGTAGTATATAAATAATTGACATTTGAAAAGAATATATTACTGTGATTAATGTTGTATCAGGTGGCATAATTTATGCACAAAGTCTATATATTTTATATTATGATCATTTTAAATCACACATTGCTTACAATTTTTTTTTTTCCTTTGATTTTAGCTCTTCTGTTCAATCATTGCTGGACTGCTCCACTACTTCTTCTTAGCAGCCTTTGCTTGGATGTGCATTGAGGGCATACACCTCTATCTCATTGTTGTGGGTGTCATCTACAACAAGGGATTTTTGCACAAGAATTTTTACATCTTTGGCTACCTAAGCCCAGCTGTGGTAGTTGGATTTTCAGCTGCATTAGGATACAGATACTATGGCACTACCAAAGTGTAAGTTAAAATGATTTCAAAATAATTTGAAATGTAATTTTGAAAATGCTTCACCATATCATTGTGAATTTTTCTTGGTTGAAATGCATTCAAACATTTATAGATTGTATCTATTATTTTCTTTTCAGATGTTGGCTTAGCACAGAAAACAACTTTATTTGGAGTTTTATAGGACCAGCATGTCTAATCATTCTTGTATGTATGTTTACAATTTTTATTAGAGCTCAAAAGAATGATGGTTAAATGGTGTTTAAATTCCCAGCAATTGAATAGCCTCTCTAAGACAAAAAAAGAAAAAGAAAAAGAACCATGATCAATGTGCAGTATATAATTAATTAACATTTTACATTTATTGTATTGTTATTCAGAAAAATATGTGTATATATTAACGTATTGCAATTTATTTGCCTCCTTGGAGGATGATAGATTTCTGCATGATGTGTAGTTTATAGGAAAAAACATTTTTCACTTATCAGTAGTATCTCAGCATACTTCAATACTGAGAGTGTTCCAACAAGCTGATAATCTGGCAGTTTAGATGTTTACGTTATTTAATCTTTTATCGATGATCGGTCATCTTTGAAGATTAGACTGTCATCTTCGTAGTTTTTCGTCCTTATGTACCCTGTCATCATGAAAGTGACTTTAAACTAAATTGCAACGTCAGAGATAAGAACCCCCTATTTCTTATGAGCAGACAAGTCATGTGTTGATAGTCCTATTTCAGCAAGGAAGAGGGCCTTTTAATTCTTATTGGAAGTGGTCCCAAACCTACAAATTTGGCAGGTATTATATGTTCCATTCTAAATAAACACACTTTTATATGTCTCAAAAGCATTTCTAAGTGCTGGAAGTTCTCAACAAGCTTTCTGACTATAATAGTCTGTCAATGAATCTAGGAAGTATGACAGGAATCCAGGATGGAAGGAATTGTCAGCAGAGAAGTTGTGACAATATTTTTGACAACTTTGTCCCATATGTTTTGACCACAAACTAGGCATCTTTTTTGCCTTTTTGTGTGTGTGTGTCTCACTTTCTTTCTTTCTTTTCCCATGAGTTCCTTATGATTGCAATGGAGCTACTGAATAGAGAAACACTTGATATGCAAAGCAGAGGATTTTCAGGAAGGTTTACCTTTTAATGGTATAAGTGAAATAAAAGGTATTTGGATATTAAGCTTCTTAGACATTGCAGAAATTACTTATAAATTTCACAATGATTATAGCAGTGTAAAAAGAAATGATTGGATAGATTTTGACTAAAACAATTTCAGAAATAATTTACTAAGTTTCCAAAATTTTCCACCCACTTAAATATACTGACTGAACAATGTCTTACTCATAGATTGTCATCTGTGAGCCTGCTATGAATATTTTGTGTGAAGATACTTTATGTATTCTAATTTTACTGCTTCCCTATCTACAGAGTGGACAGTCTCTGATACGGTTTCTTACAAGTGACAGTTATACAGAACAGTGAGTGTTTTTTTTTTTGTATTTTAGATGAACAGTAGCAGGGTAGAAATTATACTGAATACAGGAGAAAATAGCATATTTCTTTCAAGAAATAAGGGGAAATTGTTACATAAAATTTCTTTTTAATAGATGTTTATGTGAGAGAAAAGATAACTTTGGATTATTTTAAATAGTAAGATCCACAGACCCTAGATAGGCTTTCCTGCAAACTTCCCTTAAAGCCTAAATGAACAATGTCACACTGTTCTTGTTTGACATTAATTAACCAATCCATTTTCTGCATAATTTTAGTAAAATGATCATTCCCAGGTCAACCAGAGGGTCAGACTACTTACAGAATGATGAACCACTTCAATTTTACTCTAAAATTAAACATTATTTATATTTTATTGCTTTTAAAATAACAGATAATCTATAAATAATAATTTAAATGGAGTGAATTTATTTACTCTACATCTTCCTGTTCTGTGCTGAAGCTGACATATTATTAGCCAGCTGTATAGCATAATGTTAAAAGAAACTTTTCCTGTTACCCCAAAATAGTATCTGGTTCAAAGACAAAGTCAAAGAGATATTGAATAGCAAATAGTTAAAAAAAGAACTAAGAATAGAGGCTGACACTTTTCATACATCTAACAAAGAGATGGCAGGACTAGCTGTATGAGAAGAACAGGACTGGGGAGGGGAGGCCAGGAGGCGGTGACTCAGAGTTAGGTGTCCTTGGCTTTGGAGGTAATACAGCTTTCTCTATGAGAAGATTTCATTTTCCCTGATTGTTGTTGTTGTTGTTGTTGTTGTTATGTGCCTGATAGCAAGAAAAAAGGAAAGTGCCTCCCAGCCCCTGGCAACAAGTTGTTAGGAGTACTCCAAGAAAGTTTATAGAAAAAGAAGAGTAAGCTATACAAGCTATACTTGTTTCTGATTGAATTATTTCAGGACTGTGAAATCTTCATGTCTCCTTGGAATATAAGAAGAGCAGAGTATGATAAGCAAACTTTTAGGAGAGCTTGACATGTGTCCCCTGACTCTGGGCCAAATATGAACATAGCGACCAGCACCTACTTCTGTTTCTGCAGGCTGCATGCTTACTGCAGTGCCCCTTGACAGCAAAGAAGAAAAGGAACATCATATAGTGCACTTAGGAATAAAGTGATAGGAGACTAACCAAACCTCAGTTGCTCCATGAGCACAGAAAAGTTAGAGAAGGGGAGATATTTGGGGGCAGCCCAGGAGGCTGTTAAGTCAAGTGACGTTATATAAAACTAAGAGGTGGAGTAGAATGGAGACATGATTGCTCTTCTCTCTGAAGAACAGAGGAGATCAAAGTGAAAATTAAATACTCCACACACCAAGAAAACCATGCATACTATAGTGGAGGCCATCACATAAACCAAGACTACCAGCAGTAATAAGAATAAATTAAATCCAAGTGATGTCATAAATTCTCCCTCACATTGCCAAAAGGTGAGCAGACACATTAGCCTCCCAGCAGCAGAGGAATTGGAAATAGAGGTGCAGTATCTTAGAATCAAACATGCTACTCCCACATTCACCTACACAGGCACAAATACGTGTACTCTAAGATTCTGGAATGCAAAAAGAAATGAAACACCAGTTTATTTATTTATTTGTTTATAATCCAAAACTTGCTAAGAGCCTTGGCATGTGGTTTTATGCAAGTCTGGAGGAAAAAGAAAATAAAATACTTTGTTATGTATAATTCACTTGCCATTTTGGAAATAGAATTACCTACTGGTTGGAAAACTATCATCCTATGCTTGGGAATATTCTGGTAGGTAAGGATGCCACACAATATGATTAAGTTCACCATTCTGCTTGAGTTCCCTGACATGATAGGAGCACAAATAGAATATGAGCTACCGTGTACCCCCTCTATATAGGTCAATGAGGAGAAAACATGAAAAAAATTACATATCAATGATATTGGTGAGATACAGAAGAGATCAATAGTGGATAAGTACTCATTCAACATGTTTTTTTTTAGTGGTGGGAGAACTTGTTTGTGGATATGCCAAGCAGCAGATACTATTTATGTAACAGGGAATGGGCAGAGGAGTCATAGTGTGAACTCAAGTTTCTGAAAAACAGCCTTGTAAGTTTGCCAGATCCCTTGTGGAGGGAAAAGGAAAAGCAAGAACTTGGTCAATATTATAAATAAGATAATGCCAGAAATAAACAAAATTATTATCAGCTCTATTTTGAAGAGTATTCAAGAATTCATAGAATTCATCATGTCCTAGTCGTGGTTGTTATTAAATTTTTAATCAGATTTTTACCTCTATAAATAAACATCCATTTCTTCTTCACTTTTATAGTTAGGTCTTGCTATCCTTTGCTAAGATTCTGGTGTTATTAATAATAATAACAAAAATAAGAACTTTATTTTTTAAATTTTACAAATTACTGAGTTTTGAAACAAAACTTTAATTTGTTTTATTTCTTGTTTTTCCCCGTTGGTATTATAGAAGGAAGAAGATAACTCTTTTTAAAACTCATTAAGCCAAAATTTGTTGTTACTATCTCATTGTATAGTATTAAAAAATATAGGAATTGATTTAAAAGATACATGACCAAGGCTCTACGTCTAGTAGTAAATATTGGGACTAGAATTGAACATATTTCTGTTTTATACGATACTTACCTTTTCATTTCACCTATCCTGTTTTGCTAACAGCTTTTAACTTATCATTCTGTTGTCATTCTTTCCCATTTAATTTTAATCTATGCAGAATAAACTTCCTGAGAACTAGCTCAGACAATGAGAACTATTAGTAATAAAAATAACAATATCAATGTTTATTCCTGGCACTAATATAAACATCCCCCATGTATTAGTACATTTAGTTTAATCCTTCACACAACTCAATAAAATGTGTGTGTGTTCATATGATTTATTTTATTTAAAAGTTGGAGAAATTTAGGCGTAGGGAGATTGCACAGCTTGCCTTGTTGTTGTTGTTGTTGTTGTTTGCTGTCGAGTCGGCCCCGACTCATAGCGACCCCTCCTTGGGTTTCCGAGGCAGTATCACTACGGAAGTAGGATTTCCCAACCTTCCTTCCAAGGAGTGGCTGGTGGGTTTGAACCAACAGCCTTCTGGTTAGCAGTCAAGTGCCTTAGCCACTATGCTACCAGAGCCTAACAGCTAGTAAATGCCAGAACCAGAACTCACACTCAGGTAATGGTATCCAGAACCAACTTTCTAAGTTCCAATGCTGATATTTCCCCATTGCCTCTAGTCCAAATGCTGTAAGCAAGCTTACAAAGTTCTCACTAATATGGTTTGGTTGTTATTGTTGTAATATGCCTTCGAGTCGATTTCAACTCATAACGACCCCTCCTTGGGTTTCCGAGGCAGTATCACTATGGAAGTCGATAGCCCCATCTTCTTTCAGAGGAGTAGCTGGTGGTTTGGAACCATCAGCCTCCTGGTTAGCAGTCAAATGCCTTAGGCTATTTTCCAGCCTTATTTCACAGTGCATACACGTATACCATAAATCCTCCAAGAATATTAGCCAGGTAATAATGCTTACTGTCTTTTGTATACTTCTTGGTTCTTTGTACTCAGTACTTCTGACTCATTTTGCAGAATTCTGCTGCCTGAAATCTTATCGTTATTCAATGCACAATTTCAAGGAAAGCTTTCCAGGTATTCCTGAGTGTTGCAAAGAGTTAAAGTGTTTGGCTGCTGTGAAAGGTTG